CCCCAAAACCCCAAAACCCCAAAACCCCAAGTATTCATTTAAATATTGGAAATATAAATAAATTTTAATTCGATTTCGATCTTCAAAAATAAAGATGATTCCTGGTAGACAAGGTAAAACTCGAATAGGAGTAAACCAAAATAAGATCATAAACGCTCATGTACAAGTAGAATGCAAAGATGAGCTAGATGCCTCATATCCTCAGAATCCTGTCATGCGTTTACAACAAAAATAACAATCCCAGAATTCATATTTATACTCCAAAGAACAAAAATATTCAATGAAATTCACCAACAGTTAAGAAAAAGCTAAGAAAAGGAAATACAACACCTTTCAATGCCCCAAAATATCAAGCGAATGCTAGACTTTCTCAGAACAAAAAGATGGGCACTTTACCAATAAAATCCTCTCAGATCACAAATTCATAAAGACAAAGGATGACTCAAGTAAGTTTTTGCTAAACTTTCATCATAATTTAGCCTGAAAATTACAAGAAGAACACTTTAGCCTCTATATACAGGAAGCACACTAAAAACACCTTCGAACAAGAAAGTAATTACAACAGAGGACTCGTCACAGGTTTCAAGTTAGTAAATAACAAGAGGGCAAAACCAAGCGTTTACTTAAAAAGCCAAGCTCATAAATCGAATTCATCAGTGTCTCGTAGGAAATAAGTGCCTCTCATTTGAAAATGTTGGCATGAAGCCTACTAACCACTGTAAAATTCCTCGAAAAGGAAGGTACAACAACATAACGAAATTCAACCAAAAGCAAAAGCTTAAATAAAGCTCAATATTTCGAAAATATGAAAGTGATGCACTATAAACACTTCGTTGAGTCATTCAACAGAGATGTAAAGGGCACCCAAGTTGATATGGAAGATAACGAATCTGAAGAAATCCTTCTCCAACATATTTTCTCAAGCACCAGGAAGATAGCAAATACACCCTCAGAATATGGCAAAGGGTTCTCTAGGCTCGGAAAGTTATACAATATTCCAATAGAAACAAATACTTTAAACCCAGGGGTGAAGACTTCTTCGAATACTCTGGTAGCTACCTCTTTAGTGAACTCACCAAAAACTACAATCAAGGATGATAGTATCCAGAACCTCAAATCATCGAAGAAAAATTATAAAAGATTGAAGAAAAGCCTAAAAAGGCATAACAGGCCTAGAACCGTAACCAAGACTACCAACAGGAGAAAAGAGAGACTAGACACCATTCATGAAAATCTTGAGGTAACAAAATAAGGAAGAGGAGCTTCATAAGAAACTTAAAGGTAAATATCTTTATTCAGATTTATCAGACTGATCATCCTTCATGCTTTATAGATATTGATATCGACACAATCAAAGCATTTACAGGTCAAAGCGATGGAGTCAAGAATGGTTTCAGTTTCAAAGATTCTATGAGAGAGCTAGATTCTTTGCTAACTGGAAAGCTTCAAAGGAAGAGCTTAGACTTTTGTGATAAAAATCCTCCAAAAAGCCCTAAAACTCCTCAAAATGATGCAAAAAATGCCAGAAAAGTAACAAAAATCTCTGAATTCAGTCCTCTGATCTCTTTAAAACATCAAGATATCTATAGCCCGCACCTACGGGTAGAAATAGAGAGAAGAGTAGTTGATCTATCACAAAATTATCGTGAAACAAATGCTTCATCTCTTAAGCATTGTTATCCTAATCTTCAGTTAATCCTTGATATGTACTCTCCTCAGATAGATGGGAAGACTGGAACTCAAAAACCTGAGAACTTAAGAGATTTTGTTCTCTCGAATTCTAAACTAAGAGTAAACTTTCCTGCTTAATTCTTCAGCACAAAACAAAGCAAGAGAGAGAAGGCAAACAAGACCTAGATAGCTCTAAGAAAAGCTACCATACTCATCGAGTTTCCAAGGGAAATGCTTTCAAAGCATTTTCCGAAAAGATTAAAGACTTGGACCATGCTCTTAGTCAAAAGCACGGAAGGAAAATTTCTCCAAATCCTAGTCATTTAGGAAATATAAAAAGGTAACCCTCGCTTGAGTTTTGTAGCTAAACTAATTCTTTATTCGAGATTACTCTGAATTTATATGCCAGGGAAAGTTTGGCGATGAAACTCATTCATGCCTTTCCAACATTTCATGCAGTCTTAGTTTAGTCAGATATTTATCTCTTTAGTTATTTACTGTTTATGTTGACTATTTAAAAAAAATTCTTTGAGTCCTGCATATTTAAAACTCAGTCATTTAAATCCTATACTCTAGTATCAGCAATATTCAAAATCAGAGATCCAAACTCTACCACTCAAAAATATGCTCAGAGAATCCTAGTATGAAGAGTACGAGTGCTTCTCTTCATTGGAGAAGCAGGCCATTTTCAGCAATAAATAGATAATTCAAAATCTATTATATCTTATGGGGTTTTGGGGTTTTGGGGTTTTGGGG